ATTTGCACAAAGGTCACTGTATTTGTCTGATCTGCAATAACAAGCTTGGCAGACTTTTTTGTGGAATATTTTGCTTGACCAGCGTGCTTGTGCTCTTTTATTAAAAACTGCTAATATTTGCTCAGACAGTTTGTTTCCAAATACAGTGAAATTCATACATGTGGTTAGAGTATCCAAGTACTTCTTGGGGCCACGGAATGTTTCCTTCTTCCTGTAGCTGGCTTGACAAGACATTTCTTAAGCTTAAGTGAGCAGAGATGGAAAAAGGAGTGTCAGATTAGATCTCGCAGTGCATCAGTACACTTGCTCACACAGTGTCTTAATGCAACTGCAGACCTGAGTGTCCTTAGGAGCTTTAGTAGAAAGCAACTGGACTTCTGTCTTTCCTGATCAAAACTGAAGAAACCTCTTGGATGAGAGGTGGAGCATCTTCAAGAACCTAAATGAAAAGTCCAGTTACTTTCTGCTAGAAGCTCCTAGGATTACCATGACCTGGATGACTGAGAATCTACACAGACTATTGACCTGAGTGTAACATGACATGTAAACTTAAGACTTAAAAAGCATACAAACTCCCCTTTTGATGTAAAATTTCAAGCTATTGACTAATTGAATTCATGTTTTTACTGCAAAGTATTATAATACATTTAAGAAAAGTACAAAATTAGCAACAGCAGTTCTGAATTTTTTTTGTGCGCTTGTGTGTAGAAAAAAAAAATAGTTACAGTATTTACCGTCACTAAAGACTCATAGTCAGCACGATTTTTAAGGAAGTTGGTAACAACACTGTTACAAAACCTTATCTGCCCTCTGGCCCTCTGAGTTTAACTAAACATGATGTCAACATTAAAGCAACCTGTGACTGAGTCTATAAGCTTCCTGTGTGAACAACGCCTAGATGAGTGACTTAATGTGCAAATAAATTTGAAATGAATCTCCTATAGATGAGTGCAAATTGACCATCACAAACCAAACTGTCCAGCCGAGTTTGTACAGTGGGTGAAGAAAATGATCTGAAGCCATTTTCAGACATCAGATCTGTAAAACTGCTGGTTTCATCAGCCTGTTGAAGTGAAAGTATTTGCAAGATTTGTCATGTGTGCCACATTAGAAAGAACAGCGTAGTTTAAGGAAGTAAAAATACACAAAAGCTAAGCATAAACTAATAGCAAATGTGTAACCATGGAGACAGCAGCAATCAGGATCTAACAGCAAATGATATAGTGGACTTTTCTTCACTGTAGACAGTTGAGTTGTCGCATTTTATAAGTTGTAGTTAAATTATTTGTCAGATAGCAGCCCTGTTTTAGGTTGAGTCCTAAGTTTCATCACAATTGTCAGGATATTTTTCTTTTACTGTCAAAGTCTGATCCATTTACTAAAGACAAAATGTTTTTTGTCATTAAGTTTGTATTTTTTCTTTTATTTAAATTATGGAGACTTTGCAGTTTCTCATGATGTCAGTACTGATATTATTTGCATGGGCACAATACTATAAATAAACATGGAACAAGACTTTGCTAATCATTACAATAAATCTATTTGCTTGTCTTGAGACAGCACTGACAGAAAATACTGTAACACTTTATTTGCTCATTGCCTACTCTCTACTTAAGACGCACTCAGTAGTTTACTGTAGCGAGGAGATGTGATGCATTTATGAGAGTAGGCCTTGGAGTGCATGCTTTGTGAGCGCACTCTGCAGAGCACGAATTATACATGAACTCAAATGGTTGACAGTAAATGTAATGTAGTCTGTGCTGGGATTTTGGACACACCTAAAGATAAGCCCTCTATCTGAGTTATGCATCCATTTGTCTCATGATTTTCATGCAGTACAGAAACTCGTTGAGCCATCAAATTATGTATTATTATATAAACTCTGACCTTCCTCTCACAGAATCTGGTTGTCTTCCTCATTCTTTGTGGAACTAAACATTGTTTCTGAAGAAAGCAGAAACAGCTGCTCATTCTGTAATCTTTTAACTCCCACACCTTTTTATTACCAAGCAGGTGGTTTCCTCGTGCTCTGTCCTTGTTTTGTGATTCAACTCATGAAGAAAAGGCCCAGAATTACTTTGAATGTACTGAAGCTTCTCATTATTGTCATTATACTGTGTCAGAAGTAGGTTTAAGACCTTCACTGTAGTAACATTTGAGAAATGGGGTTATTGGGCTTTAAAGCAAAGGGTTTAACTCCACTAAGTCTGAATGAAAAGACAATTGTGGGGTCACTTCAGGGTAATAACACTGGATGTTAGAATCTGACCCATTTTTTTTTGTGTGTGTGTGTCTTTGTAGGGGGAGCGTGCCACAGGATTCGGTGTTGCTCTGCTCATGGCCCTGTTCGGTCAAGCTTCAGATGACTCCATGCTGAACCAAGTGTCTCCTCTGGGTGCACCCACCAACATGGCCGAAGACCAGATGGAGCGCGACTGCAAAAGACGAAGACTGGTGTAGAAACGCCCAGCGGTTCACTCCCCGACCCCGACTGCTCCACTGCCACCACACACCCAGACAGCTGAAGAAAAAGCTCCTCTGTTTAGAGTTAAAAATGTTTTAAACCGAATCAACTTTCTGTGTTTGATTAAATTTGACTTCACTGAATAAAACAGATAATCATCGGTATCAGACGTGGTATAAATGATATAATCAAACACAGCCCCTCCCTCGCCCTCACATGCTGTACTGATCGCCTCCTTAGCTTCTCCATTATTCAGCTGCTTTTCACAGAGATGCATTGATTATAACGAAATCTGAAAAAAAAAAGTAGGTGGTGTGTTTTAATGACAGATTCAGTCAGGTTTTCTGCAACGTTTTTTTGTAATCGTTTTGTAACAGATTTTCCAAGTTAACAGCAGTTTAAACGATTTTACCTCATACCTCTTTGCTTTCAAGTATCCACCTCATCAGCAGGAATTGTTGTAAGTTGATACTTCATGCAAATCTGTGATGATGCCATGATACGTGTTGTCTTAGACATTGTGAAGAAATGCTGGATGAAGCTAGAGTCTCTTGGTAACCACTGCACTTTGTATTCATCCTGTGTACAGCTGGACTGCCTGATCTCTGGACCTAACGGAGGACTGAGTGCTTAACTGCAGTTTTACACGGTTTCACAATGGTGTTAGATAAATGGCTTTGTCAGCATAAAATACACATGCGATATGTAGAAGTATTAGTCAAGATTCCTGCACAAATATGATGTTTTTTCACCCTTGTGACAATCATGTTGTCCTTCAATAAAGGCGGTGCCATCTGTCCTCTGTGTGCACGTGTCCAGTGAAACTCCTAAACCAACAGACACCTCTTTTTGCTGAGAGATGAGAAAACTAGTCCTTAAGTGGATTTTTTTTGGCTCAAGAATTAGTTTACCATCTCAAATGTTTTTACCCCAGGTATTCACATTACATCAGCACCATAGCTGTTATTCACTTTGTTCAACATCCTTACAAATCATTGGGGATTTTGTAATTACATATTTTTTTTGTCACAGTTGCACTGAGGTCTTTTATCAGACCACCAGTCATCATCAGTTTCTATCATGACAGCTGGTATTAGACAACAAAAACAAACCAATTGTGGAAATTTAATCCCTGCACTCTCTCTGTATCTTAGATGTTTATAAGATAGTTTTGATGACATTAATGAGGCCAGTTGGAGATCTGTACAAAAGGGTAGTTGAAGATTTAACATGTCGGACCTTTACAGTGGCTAAGTATAAGGGAGGATTAGATTTTCACTGTCACCACATTTAAAGGGGGTTACTATTCAGAGTGAACAACTGCTGCTCTCAATGTGACACCAAGTGGTTATCAACTCAAACTACAACCACTTTGTCTAACCTTTCTGGGCTTTTAATCAACTACAGGACAAGACCTTTTCAGTGCTTTATAACATGTTATTACCAGTGTTACCACCTACTATTGTTTCACCCACTTTTCTTGCAATGTGTTTGGAGATTTTGGTGGTAAAGGTTTTTTTTCTTCCTCACTTTGTTAATTAATGCATCTGTAAATAAACTTTAGTCGTGTTGTTACAAACAAAAAAAAGTCTTTGGGCAATTTTCTTTAGTGCCAAAATATATAATTTAATTCCAAATAAAGAAATGCATTTCCCAAGATTTTAAACACCTACTGCATGTTGTATTAATTCCAAGTGGCATCATTAGGCTTTATATTGTTTTTTTTTTTAAGATTAAGCCCAGATATTAATACTTTCTTTTCCTTAAGCAACAACTACATCTTAAAACTGTTAAGTACAAACATTTTAATGGCAGTAGAGAAACGCTTTTATATTACTATCCCATGGTATATGAATACAGATTAAAGCCATGATAATAAACATGGGATTTGTTAACACTAAAGAGAGAAGTGAGAAGGCAGGTACAATAGAAGTTAAAAGTTAACAATACAAATGAAACCAGAAGTAAGATAAAGGTAAATATGACCAGAAACTACAAAAAATACCTTCACACAAAGGTTAGCTTTGACAAGAGACTGTTAAAATGATTGTCCTATAAATCTGTGTGCACTTTATTCAACTTTTTTTTAATTAAGTGCAATTTACTTTACATTTGCCTGTAAAGCACCCTGAATAACCTCTTTGCATTATAATGTGATATATATACATAATAAACTTGCTTGCTTGATAGTTTGATAAATTGTGATCACAAATTAATAATTAAATAACAATTCATATTTTCAGTGTTTAGGAAAACATGCATAAACTATAGATACGTTGGCATTAGAAGGATTTTAACCATTCAAATACAGCACCATCTTGTCCTGGACTATTTATTAATGGTGGTCACTGTAATAACAGCATTATTTCTTATTATATGAGGTGCATTTGTCTGGTTAAAATGCAGAATTTCGTGGGCTTGGCTAGTGTTTTAAATCCTATCAGTGCCTGTCTGTTGTTTTCTTCGGGACCATGACTTGTGATTTCTTGTTTGTCTGCCTGGTGTGGCTTCTCGGTCATGTGACTGCTCCGCGTACCGGCTGATAAAGTGCTCAGTTGACCCGCAGACACAGCAGTGTTGAGACGGTCTCTGCTCCTGACAGCACCGCCGACTCTCTCCGCTCCTCTTCCCATTAAATAAAGCTCTGCTCCGGATTAGAGATGGCTCCAACAGCCGCGGTGGTTGTTCTGTTTTCGGTCGTGCTGTCCGCTGTGTCGGCCGGAGTGTTTTTCAACCAGAAGCAGCCTTGTTATGTCCGCACACCGAGGAAAGACGACTTCGGACTGAAGTAAGTTTTGTTTTTTTGTTTTTAATGTCTGTGATTTACAGCGAAAACTTAGCTAAAAGTTACGGAGTAGAAAAAAGCTGCAGTCACCATTATAAATCTGTAACTAGCTAGCTAGCTAACGTTAGCTACAAACAGCCTTTAGCCAAGTTGACTTAGCTTATCAGAAATACCTCCTGACAGTTAAAGTTAGCCACCATGTTAGTTTTACACCTAAATGTGGTTCATATGTCGAAATATACTACATTTACTGCGAGTAACATACACGTGAGAGTTAAATAAACAGCAGTCACTGTGTTAAAAATCATTTCAGCCTTGAAATTTTGGTTTCATTTTGCATGTTTGCAAAAAAAAACCCCGTTTTGTCAGCATCTCAAATCACGAGTTTTGCAAACCCACAGGTTGAGGAAGTTACCAGAACTGTAAACTCCCCGCAGCTTATCCGCCAACCCTCAAAGACTAATGTAAGATTAAAAAAAAAAAAAAGAAAGAAAGAAAGAAAAACTGGTTTGGTAATGACTTCAGCACTGCCGGGAAGCAAGAAAAACACCCACACAATGTGATTATGAATTAACTCTTTTTTTTTTTTGTAATTTTGACATATAACCCTTTATGTAAATTGCAAACAGTAGAATGAACTGATATTTAGCCTGAAAAAATTACAGTCAAACCTAAATAATGATAATGAGGTCAATACAGGGAAGCATGTTTGAGATTTCAACTGTGCGGTTTCAATATACAGCCAGACATATTGTGTGAGCAGAGACAGACATGGTTAAATTTAAAAGAGAAAGACCAAGGTATGTGCACAGAAAACTAATACTGAGGGTTAACTTGGCAGCTATGCAGCAGCATCACTGCCTCACAACTACTCAGTCGTAGCTTTTCTGTTTCAGTGCTGCAGTGTCTTGTTACCTTTTGGCTGACATCAACACTGACTGATACTAATACATCTGGGATAAGCTAATCATGGGCCAGGTGATTGATCTAACTTGAAAAACTGAAAACTGGACTTTGTTTTAGTTCTTGCAGATGCTTCACCTTTCATCCAACAGGCTTCTCTGGTTTATGGGGAGTCCCGGGTATTGATTCTCACCTTCAAATCACCTGGGGCTCCTTATCAGTTGATCGACCCATACTATCATGATTAGTTTAAAGAAATACAAACAAGCCAGAGCGCTTCCCCCCATAGCAGGATAATGACGAGGTGCAGCCAGCAGAATATTCTGGCTGTGTGAGACGAGAGAAGCTTTGACCCAAATCTACACAGACAACATCAGAGTTGTCAGAGGGACAGTATATTGTTTTACTGTTCTACTGTACTGATATTTTTAAAGCGAGGAAATGAAACAGAAGAGTGAGGAAATAATCTTAGCACCATCTTGTTAGACTGTTGCTGAGAACACAAATAGAATCAGTTTTAAGGAAATGTAGACAACCTATTCAGATTAGGGTGATGTTTAAATGTGGCAGCAGATAACAGTTACAGTCATTCAGATTCATTTGGAACTAGAAAAAAAAAAGAATTGAATCATGGAAAAAATAGTTTACTGCTTAAAAATGGTGTGAGAGTGAGAGAGTACAAGCCATCTTCAAAGTGCTTGTTTTGTCCTGTTTACAGCCTTCATTTGCAATGATATGAAACAGAGAAAAGCAACAAATGGTCACCTTAAATGATTGATTGGTCCTCTAGCTGACATTTGTATAGTATGTTCACTGTGTTACTGAGTGTGTTGCTGATGAGCCGTCTGTCCACAGGACTGCACCTCGTCCTCATGAGTATTTGAACATTACTGATCTGCCCAAGGCGTGGGATTGGAGGAACATCAATGGCGTCAACTATGTCAGCACGACCCGTAACCAGCACATTCCCCAGTACTGCGGCTCCTGCTGGGCACACGGAAGCACCAGTGCCATGGCAGGTATGACTCAGCGTAGTTCCAACTATTTGGTGACTGTGTAGATCAGCAGACTATCACATGACTTTTCAGCCACACATTTTTTCACAGGTATGAGAGTTCCACTTCTTCTTTACGCAGAAGCTGATTATTGAGATTTTCATTTCTCATGTGCATGAAAGCTTTGTGTGTGTTTTTTTTTTTCTCTCTTCAGATCGCATCAACATTAAGCGGAAAGCAGCATGGCCTTCTGCCTATCTCTCTGTCCAGCATGTGATCGACTGCGGTGAGGCCGGCAGTTGCCACGGAGGTGATCACACCGGGGTTTGGGAGTACGCTAACACACATGGGATCCCAGATGAGACCTGCAACAATTATCAGGCCAAAGATCAGAGTAAGTGTCCTTCACTGCACAGTACTAGGTAATAACAGTCACAGTCTGAGTCTGAGCTCTGCATGTCCTGTGTCTCTCTAAAGAGTGCAAGCCCTTCAACGAATGCGGCACCTGCACCACTTTTGGAGTGTGTAACATTGTGAAGAACTACACTCTGTGGAAGGTGGGAGATTATGGAGCCGTCAGCGGGAGAGAGAAAATGATGGCAGAGATTTTTGAACGAGGACCAATCAGGTTTGTAACCATTTTTTTGTGCTTTACACTAAGATGCAAACGCTCCTTACCCAAAGTCCTTAAGGAGCCACATCCACCCAACAGTTATAAACCACAATCAGACACACACACACACACATAGGGACAAATATATTTATGAGCCACAACACTGAGAAAAGTTTTCAGTTGAAAGTTGACACAGTTGTGACAGAGCTCAGGTCATGAGTAAGTTTGTCACATGAGGACAAAGGGTAAAAACATCTTTTATAAGCATATTGTCCCTGAAAGGAGCACAGATAAAAAAGGAATGAAAAGAATTTAGCAAACAGACTGGCTTAGTAGGTGTTCATCTCATTCCCTTAAGGTGTAATCACATTGTGTTTTCATTCAACAAAAGTTCTCCACACAGCAACGTGTCTGTAAGTGAGACAAAGATGCACTTTGACCTGCAAATCTGTTGGAGTTTAACAGAAATAGCAGTGAAACAGGAAACACGCTTTAACCGATCTGTTTTCGGGCCTCAATAGAAATTAAGTGTAATGTGACATATCTTTAAACTGGCAGAAATAAACAGCATCTGACTGGATTGGTTTAACACATGATGTGAAGTTTTCCACCATCTTGGTTTGTTTAATGAAAGAACATATATGTTCACCCTCTGAACTCCAAAACAACAGCACTAGGAGGTGCAGGACTTTATCTTGCAGTGAAAAAATGAGCCTACAGGAGAAAACAGAAGCTGCTTGGTATTCAGAGGGTTAACAGGGTGGAGTGATACGGGGCAAACAAGTACCAACTAATGCAGCTAAATACAGTCCAATCAACGGAATAGTGTTGTTATTTCTAGTGTCACAATCCAGCTCAAAGCTAGACAAAAAAAGGAAGACCACATATAGTTGGAACAAAAAATTAAGTTCATTTTACAGAATGAAAAGACAAATTGACCTAATTACAGAGTAAACTCAGGTGAGGTGGGAGTCAGAGGAGAGGGACAGACTGGTTGACTGCCACCTTCTTATATGGTGAAGCCAGACCAGGTGAACTGAATTCCCATGAAGTCTGGACTCCACCCACCAGAGTCCTGCAGCTATAAACCTGCCCAGAAGAATGTCACGCTTGAGAGCTTCGTGAGCCATTTTTACATAGTCACGTTCAGGAGAATGAACCTGGCAGTGCTACTGACCAGCCAACTGGACATTATCAAAACTAAAAGACCAGTGTTCAATCTTGCAGTCTTAAATAAAGTGATCTGGATCCACACCAAAATGTAATGCATTCTCTCCCCTGAGTTTTATGAAATTTGGCCTGGTCATTTTTCAAGCAATCCTGCGACAGACAGACAAAGATGTCACCTTGACTCTTGCCTTGGCAGAGGAATCATGGTTTTGATATTGTAAATACGTATTAGGCCTTTTATCTCTCCTTGTTTTAAAGAGACTGTCCAAACAAGAATGCAGCACAAACAACCTGAGCAGTAAACTAGGAAGCAAATGTTCAGTGAACTCTACCACTGTACACAACCTCTAAATGAATCTGCAACTTAATATTCTCAACATGGGCTTAAACATTCAGCCACTGTGGCCACCAAAACACACCGTTATCTGCTGTGTGAGTGTTGTAGCTATTGCAGTGGCACGTTGCATTATTGTATAGTGTATTTATGTCAGTGTTTCAGTGAGAGAAAGTAACCTGTGGTGTTTGTCTTCTGCAGCTGTGGGATCATGGCCACAGACAAGCTGGATGCGTACACTGGAGGTCTCTACTCTGAATACTTCGACGAAGCTTACATCAACCACATCGTGTCAGTGGCAGGTTGGGGAGTAGAGGACGGTGTTGAATACTGGATTGTACGCAACTCCTGGGGGGAGCCATGGGTGAGTCCTCCGAAATCAGAAAACTCCACACGTTAACAGTGGTAACAAAAGCCTTCTGAAAGATGGCTGGCAGAATTGTCTCAGTGATTTATTGTATGTGTCACTTTAGTTTTAATTTATAAAAATGTTATCAGTTTGTAAAGTGTACTGCCAACTATTCAAATGACCAAATAAGAAATGCTCAGAGGTAAAGTTAGGGGAAAAAACACTGTTAAATATGACCTAATGCGTACTAAAGGTCAAACTGTATCGGTTCATTGAAGTTTGACAGACAGTTGCATTTTTCTGCTAATATGAGTAAGCAACTTCCTGCTAAATAAAATTAAAATACTGCTAGAACTTATGTAGATGACATATAAAGCACAGACAGAAATCAGTCCTGTGAAATAACCTAAACCATTGCAATTTGAATAAATTGACAAAGAAAAAAAAAGTCTGTATTTTAATTTCCTTAATAGGTTTATCAATAACTTCAGTAAGTTAAATCCTCTTAGATCACAACCTTAACTGGTGTTTAAGTAGTAGGAGGAGTCGTCTTTGTGCCAAACCTTAACCCAAAACATTCACTGCAGTGGAAATTATAAGTGATTTATAAATACATCCAACAAAGCGCTGCAGCTGTGGATTTTCATTATTAATTCATCTGCAAAATGAGATTCTCAGTCAATGAATTGTTTAGAAAATGTCATCATTTGTCACTATTTTCTTTTTGGGTCCAAGGTGGCATCTTTCCAAAGCTTTTTTTTTTTTGTTTTGCTCAGCTAATGTTGAAAAACCCAAGAATATTAAGCTCTTTATTAACACATTCAAAAAACAAAATTCATACTTGACAAATTTGAGAAGCTGAAAATAGGAAAAGTTTGGCATCATGGTTTGAAAAGTGGCTAAATGGCAAAATGCTGATAATCAAATCAGAAATATTTGCTAATTCATTTCTCCCCTCTCCTCAGGGTGAGAAGGGCTGGCTCAGGATCGTGACCAGCGCCTACAAGGGAGGGAGCGGCAGCAAGTACAACCTGGCGCTGGAGGAGGACTGCATGTACGGAGACCCGATCGTCCCCAAAGGCTACTTCTAGAGGAGCTTGGTGTCAGGTCGTCACTGCACAGTCTTCCCATCTGGCTAAGAGGAAAGCTTTTTATATGTAAAACGCTGAAAAGGGAATAAGTTCAGGTTTTTATTTTTTACAGGATGATTTTAAAACTTGTGGGGGTCTTCCAGCTGAATACCAGTTTACATTGAAGCAGATTATCATTTGTTTTATTTTTTTTTAGCATGAAGAGGTCTGCAGGCTGTTGAACAGTCAGACACTTCAAAATGTTTTTATCAGTGCCACATGACACATCAGTACAGTTCTGTGCTAAGAGAGAATTCAAGCACTGCATGCCGAGTAGCCATTATAGACGCTGAAAAGATCCACTTCACTTAACATCAACAGGATATAGACTTTTTTTTGTATTTTTAATTTGTAAATGACTCAGCCAAAGACTCAGTGATTAGTTTGTCCTGTGCTGCTCTGACACTGAATGTTTTCAGTGTGTGGTATCAAACTACTGACGGTATTGCACTACAAAGCAGTAGAGGATTTCTACACAAAAACTGAAATCTACTTTAAGTGTGCCTTATATGCATTTGACATCAAGTACAGATTATTATTTTGCAGTTTGTTTTCACACTGACAAATTTACACCAGAAACGTTGCAATGAACGAAATATTTGCTTTGTTTCAAACTATGCCAATAAACACATTTTAAAGTGATGCGTCACAAAACATCTGTCCTTTGAGTGTCATTCCTCATCTGCAGGACTAAAACCTTTTTGTGAAAAGCTTTGTTTTTTTTTCCTTCACGAAGGGATTTCGATGGTGACATGAAAGCAAAAGTTTAACAATGTTAGAAACTAGTGATGGCCAGATGAAGCCTTGAAGCTTTCTATGCCATTGGTTCAAAGAAAGGTTCATTTCTTGAGGCTTCATGTGCACACAAACCCCCCTTGCTGATCAAAAATGTATTGCCATTTCAACTATCAGAATCTGAATCCTTTTTATTCTTGTTATGCATACGCGTCTATACACACAACAAAATTACAGTTGGAAGTCTCGGTTTTCAGCAAAAAGAAAAATGGCATTAATAAATTAATAATAAACTATTTGTGATGGCCTCTTTGCTGTCCTGCAACAGTGTCAGCACGGGAAAAATCAGTACCAAGAATAGAAATAAAAACACTTCAGTTTGATTTTGTGTGGCTGCTTCATTCATTCATTTAATCTGTTTTGATTAATGTGTGGGTAATAGAGGTCTGCTAATGTCAACAAAACTTGCCAGTATGATTTCAGTCAATGTTTAAATATATCCAAAAGGACATGAGATGTTTATGTTAAAACTGTTGCAATGTTTTTAAAAGATGGGACAGCAATTGTATTTATGAATACTGGGGTGATAAGTGACTTTATTCATTTTCATTAATGGCCAAAAATTGCCATTTTTGAGCAAAAATGGCCTGGCATGGT